GCCGAACACTGATGCTTTGAGGTTTTCCAGAAAGTTTTTGGAAAACCTTAAACCAATGCCCGGCTGAAATTCACCTTTTTCGTTTTCGATTATGCTTTATGAGCTGTCCTGAGCGTTTTCTGAAAATTTTCTTGAGTCAGCATGAGATTTGATCGACATATAAGGATTTTAATTTTTGCTAGTAACAGACGAAAAACCGGTTTTTCACAAAAGTGCCATTTCATTTCTACACAAAAACAAATGTTGCCACTATGCTCAGCGTAGTCGATCACCTATATTCCATGGCATTTTGAGATTCCCAGAGATGTCTGCTCGAAGATAGACGGGAAAAGCGTGTCCGAACGACGATAGCTGGAGAGCCGGAACTTGCATAATTTTGTAGAGTAACGTTCGGACTATGTACGCATGCAAAAAAATTACTAACATTGTATGTTAGTTTTCTGAGAACGGAGTTAGTTTTCCAAAGATCCTCTGGAAACCCGATCTTTGAAATTTTTTCAGAAGTGTTTCTGCTTGCGAAAAGTTCCGCTCAAGTCTTGGCTATCGAACAGTGAAAACCGCAAGTCTCTATCTCATTTCCGTCAAAAGTTATTCAAAAAATATCCACTCGCACTGTATTTTGGGATGGATAGTAGTTATGTGTAAAGTTGTCGCCTCATTATCACTAAATTTAGATCAGCTTCTGTAGTACCTGATGTATAACGAAACTTATTATTTCTGATGAGTCATCGTATTGTTTTATATGGGCCTGCCCATTATTCACAACAAACTCCACAAACAGTCCGCAGTAAGAAGAGTTTCACGTAAACTGAATAAATGCCTATGAGCTGTACGGTGGAAAGTGAAAGTTCAAAACAATTTCAAAAATCAGTACACTACTGATTAAATCAGCGAAGTCGGCCACTCTAGAGCTTTTCTTATGACAGCTAGGATTCTAATTTCAGTGTTCGTAATAACAAAAATCAAAAGGCAGGAGTAGGATTTTGAATTCTGTTATGGCAGGATTTATATCTACTGCAACTAACAAGGGGTAAACAAAAAAACCATAAGTAGCAGGAAACTATAAATATTCTTCTGATGTATATAATATAAAATGCACACCCACTTCAGAAGCATCTTCTTCCCTTCAACTATCGACGATTGTTATTAGTGAGAGAAGGAAGAATACCGCTCCTTGCGACAGTTGCCGGTGTAGGGTCCTGCCGCGCCAATTTCAATATTCCGATATCTTCCCTGCATTTGACAAGCTTCTGAAACGGCCACCCATCTCGTTACTAGTCAACAATTGCAGCTCTGACCAGAAGGAGCTCTTGTGCTCCTGATTCAGAAGAGTTCTTGCGCCTAATTACTTAAGCTGTGCTGTACGTCACAACGTAGTGGGTATGCTGTCAGACGGGTGATTCGAGACACTAAGACATAAGTAACTTGCCCAGGATTATTACTTAAGTTTGGTAGCGCCGAGGTTCGAACACAGTACGTTTGAAGTACGTGACGAACAACATAACCATTAAGTCATGCTGCCTGAGAGAAGACCAAATGATGAGAACAAAGCGAGTGTGGCACTGATCTGGCTTGATCCACACATAGGTTCAGACGATGACACTCAACGCACTCTGGCAATGCTGAACGAAATCAATGACTTCGTTGTTTTCCACACACAGTTAGACTTATGCGCTGATCACGTCACAAGTGTTCAAAATGAGAGAATATTTCTTGTCACATCGGGTAAATGTGCCATCGATCTCTTGCCTCATATCGGGAGGCAATCTCAGATCGATTCCATATTTATCTTTTGTCTCAAACTAAACAAGTATAAACATCTCCAAAATGAGTACTCGAAAACAATCGGAATATTCAGTGAACATCAAGAACTCGTCAAGCCAATCAAAACCAATATCGATCTGGTTGAGAAACAAATCCAATCGTTCAGCTTTTATAATCAACAAAAATTGACACGTGATTTAACTCGCGAATCCGCATCCTTTCTGCGGTTTCAACTATTTGAAGATTTAATCCTCCAAATGCCTCCTGATAATCATAGGAAACGACAGATGATTCAGAAGTGTCACGATTGTGGGAACAGAAAAGAAGTGCAAATTCTTAGAGTAGATGCCCTAGGTTATACAATCGAGGGCTTAATTCAACGTTGACGTTCTATAGAGAAACCGGTATTTCTTAGAAACTTTTAGGTTTAGAACAGGAACAGTTTTTCCAAATTAAATAGGAAAGATCGAGTGTCAAGGATATCACTTTTCTACTTTCCGACAAATCAAATTCAAGAAATGCTTGAGATCAGTCCGCAAATGAAGCCGAAAAAGCGACTGATGTCACTTTAACAGGAAATTTGGAATTAGTTAAATTATTCATACAGATGGATGCCGTTCGATATGTTCCAAACCGATTTTGATGGTTATATTGATTTATAAAACAACGATTGAGTGTTTAACTCACAGGATACGGTTTCAGTTTCTGTATTCCGGTTCAACCCGCTTTTGACAAGTGTACATTTTATTAAAAACAGATTTGTTTCCTACATTCATGTATATCTCAGTGCACAATCTAGCATTGGACAAGACCGGTTTGTCATCTGAATTTGAACTGGGTCAAACTGAAATGCAAAAAAGAGCTTGACAATTAATATGAGATTGATCTAAAAGATAAGATTGACCAATATGAGATTAAGCAATATACTCTTCTAATATCTAAATTTCATCGAAGTAAAGGATTTTATAGCCGTAACAGTAGATACATTCTTGAATAGAATACAGATAAGTCTACTGCGATAAATGTGCTTCTAGTCTAATTGCAGATGTAAACAACAAAAAATTCTTTTACTTCTTTTACGTGGAGAGACAATCTACTAATGATGACAGTTGTGCAAGGAATATGATTATTATCAGCGGATGAATTTAAAAGAAATTTTTGTGTTCTGTTCAACAGAATGCCATCAAAATGCGCAATACTTCGAAAATCATGAAGTATAAAAACAATTAAACACAGTCTATTGTTGATTTTTGAACTACTATAGTGTTTGTTATTTGTTTCTTTATTATATTTTAATAATGAGACATCAGTTATATTTTAATAATGAGACATCAGATGCAGAAAAATAATAATCTACTGTCTGCAGTTCGGTAGGTTCTGTTTATGAATTGTGCCGTTTCATTTCTCGAAGGAAATCAGAGTCTCTTGTTGCAGTTAAAATCCTTTATTTCGATGAAATTTGGTCATTAGAAGATCTCGTTGGATTAATCTCACATTAAATTAGACCTAGCAGTAGAATATTAGTTTCGTTTGATCTTTTATGCTAATCTCAAGTTAAACGTCAACCTTGTCTTTAAAGTTCAGTCTGGCCTATTTCAAACTTGAATCGCAGTTTGGCTTAGAAAAACAGCATACCATACTCAAATCAGAGTTTTGACTAGCTCAACCTAGACGGTCTAGTCTAATCTCGTTTCCAATGTTTATATATAGTTTCGAAAAGGGATAACTGTAGGTGTCTTCAGGTATTTAAGTACAACTTAAACCAAAATCAGCCGCAAATAAAAAATACACAATTTGAAAGTAGCCTTTTTCTGATTAAACTCAATAAGGATGCGTTATTCTTTTTGCCATCTATAATTGATTTTTTATTGTGTATATTTAATTATATAATCAAAAATATGTGGTATTTAGTCTTTATTATTTAAATAAATTTCTACTCATATTCTTTGATTGCATTGTGAAACGTGCGATAAAAACTTTGTGTTTGTTCTTATTCCATTCTGCCTCCGGTGAAAAATAAAGTGATGAGAAACTACATTACATTTTGTGTTCGTATTGTTCCATCAGAGATATTATATATTAAGATATGTGATGAATAATAACTAGAGTTAAATATTTAAATTGTCGATTTGATTCGTTTTAAGATGAAAAACATAACGATGATTGTAACAGTGACTATTAATTAAATATCTATATGTCCTTCTTATCAAATTCATCAATTATTTAAATTATTTTTTGAAGTATATCTCCATATGAAATTAAAAATCACTATAATTAAAAAATATCGATAGATTGTAGTTTTTGATTATTTTGTCATAATAAAACCTGGGGATCTAGCCTTAATTATTTTCTCTAGTATTTATTCTGTTGGTTTAAACTTTAATCTTCAACCAGAACAAAATCGAGAATATAATTTCCCATTATATCATTCTAAAACTTAAACTATCAAAACACAAAAAATTAATCCTTGTACGAAGTTAGGATCGAGCACACAAACTTGATCTTTGCAGACAAACTGCAAAAAAAATCAATTTCGCTGTTTTTTTCTATATTCTACACAAGGACTGAAGTTGTGCAATGATTCAATGTTATTCTTCGACATATATTTTTTTCTTGTGATTTTTGAGTCTATTCTATTAATGCACCATCTATTAGTGGACGCGACTTTTCTAGGTGATGAATTTTTCTACACTCTAGTGATTTTACGGTATTTTCATTGAAAAACTTTTCATCACTTTTCATCATCAAAAACACTTCTAAATGGCAAGCGTTGATACTTCAATATTTCAGTATTAATGCACCTATTGTTTTCAATTCTTTTCTCTGCAAGAAACGCTTGTATATGATCGTTTGATTGGCATATTCATCGACGACAAGGCAACAATTTATAAATAGGAAACAAATTCTAATTTTATCGCTCAACTATATAAAGAGAAAATATTAAAAATATTTTTCTTCATGAATGTGTTTAATATTCATTTTCTCGTGTTGAATGATCGATGTATTTATTAACGATGTTTCATGTTCTCAAATATGTAAACAGTAGTTACGTTAAAAATCTTTCATAACAATATAATCTTCAGGAACATTGAACGATTTTTGAACTGGAGCAGCAGCAACTGTTTTATAATTAGACCATTTTTTTATTTCGGCATAGAATGAGTTACCGGGACATGCAGTTGCATCAAGATCTCTACAAGAACATATCATTAGTTAAGAAGGTAATAAAGAAATATTCAATTTTTTTCATGCCTGTGTCCACGAAGAATATAATTACTACGGATATAGCCCTTTTGTACACCACATTTGATCAATGCTTTAACAGCAGTTAATGCTTTGGAAACAGGCAATCTTGAGCTATAATCACCAATCACCGATATACCTATAAAATAGACGAATAACACTGATGTTTTATTGAAAAATCACCAAATACTCCGTAGAAATATATTATAATTTATAATGTACTAAATTTGAGAGAAATAGTTGAAACCCACTTTTTATTTTCAAATTTTTCCTATCAAGTTTTTTTTAAAAAAATGAAAGAAAATCACTTTTCTTAACCGTAAAGCATCTTACCTATTGATTTCGAGTTGTAACCAACACAGTGTGCACCAACGAGAGTCCACCCACGACCTTCATAAATATTGCCATCCTCTCCCACAAGAAAATTATATCCAATATCAACCCAACCTGCATTTAAAAACAAGATCGTTGCTGAAATCAAAACCGATATTGTACTTCTTACCATTAGTATCCATGTGATAATTTTGAAATCCTTTCATTCTGGAAATACACGTGTTCTTAGCAGTACAAGTTGCTCCGGTAGTGTGATGAATAACAACATGGCTAACAGGTGTTGTCAACTTTGTGCTTCCCTTTGCTGCTCGAGCTCCCCAACCTGAGCGTGATACAATCGACGGACAATCTAAGAGCGAAATATAAGAGAAAATAGATTTCAACAAACACTAATAAAACTAGATAACCATACTTGATGCATTAGGTGTAAAACAACATTTAACATCATTTGGTTTACTCTCACATAAATTTGATTGATACACGCCGCTGGTACAAGCCGAAGTTTTTATACATTTTCCTTTACCATATGTGGGATGAACATATGTATCGCAGGTATCAGCTACGGAAACAAATAATTAATTCGATAATATACATCATTAAATAACTGCATGTGTATCATCAAACCTGCTACTTCGACGAAAATAATGGCAAAAACAGTTACTGTTATGAAGAACATGTTTTTGTTCTGATTTAGATAACTGTTTTTTGTCAACTACATCCATCATATATAGAGCAATGCAAATTGAGATCGCTTGACAAGGATTAAAAGATTAATTTTGATATGAAAAAACGTAATTATTTTTCTAGAAATACAAAATATTGTTAAATATGATATTTTAGTAACCGGGTTACTTTGTTACTTCGACTCACTCGTCGTATCAATCAGTTTATTTTAACACGAATGTGTCTAGGATGTTACAAAAAAGGAAAACTTAAATGAATGTAAAATCTATATTAAGATCTAAAGAAATAAGAAGGAATTGTTACATATGAAGAGAAAAAAATAAAACTTCAAATAGACAATTACAGATTCTAATTACCGTTGTAAAACTACAGATTTAAATACAGTCTAAGAAAATGCTCCTATGGCAAATTGGGATATGACAGATCGTGGCAAGAGGTTTCACTCCATACATGTGTGGGGAAGAAAAGAGTGTTTATTTGCTTCTTAGTCCACTGACACCGATTATTCAGCCTATCCGACGTTCTGCTAGTTAAAGATGTGATCATATTAAATCTTGAAAGAGCGCTTTTTCCTATCATAATTTTGTGAAAATGTAACAAACGAAAATATTTTCGTCTTTCACTTAAATCAGGAAAATTTAATTTGTTCATCAATAATGAACTGCTCGTTTCATAGTCATTACAAATTATTCTAGCTGCCATCTTTTGAACAGAAACTAGTGGGTGTAAATGCATTTTTGCAGTAGTAACATAAACAACAGAACAATAGTCCATGACTGGCATTATGCAGGTTTCAAAGATATGAAGACGCAGAGAAGTTGGTGCGGTGTTAAATGTACGGTGCATTGTGTCCAACATCTGTCTCCACTTTTTGGCCATCTATGTTAGACTGTGCGATAAAAAGCTCCTAACAGCTTAATATTGTTTTCCTTAACGAGAGCCTGTCCTGATAAAAAAAGCGAATTTTCTAAAGTAGAAGGCGGTGTAGTTGTTGAAAAGGGCATAAAAACGCACTTATCAATGTTGAATTTTACTAGCATTTTGTTACACCAGTCAGACATCGCATCCAAGTCATTCTGAGCATTTACCAAATCTGTAAAATCGTGTACAGGGACCAGAAAATCATATTAATAAACCAACAACTCGTTTTTACAATAGAAAAATGATTTTCAACATTAATTCAAGATCACTGTATATATTCTAGGAAAAATCGAAAAAACAAATGAATTACACTTAACATATCAGGAATGTTTTCACAAATTACCTAAATTTCTTTTTACGATTATTATTCGCTAGCATGAGCACTGAGTTGAGCACGATAAAAAGAAAAAGAAGGATGAACAAATGTGAAGTTTTTATTACTTCATAGAGTGTAAACATATATATAAAGAAGAAAAGAAAAAAAAGCCAGGTTTTGACGCTTGAAATGTTTATCTTCCTATTTTGACCTTGAATTGTAGACGAAACAGAATGTTAGTGTATTTTTTTCCAGTAATAGCACAAAAACAGAACAAAAAAATTTTCTTCACGATAGATATTTCGTAATAGAATTCAATGTCTACAGATAGCCAACTATTCAATCAAGTCTCATTTATTGTCACGTAATTCTGACATATTCTTTCGATGAACATGATGTGTGAGAAAGTACGATCATTTATAATATAAAGTACAAAACTTGAGCTTATTAAAAAAAGATAAATCTATGAATCATCACGTAAATAATTAAATATGTGGATGAATATTTGAAATAACCTGCACTGTTTAAGTAGAAATGTTTCTGTATTTTACAAACTGGATGGGTTATATAAGCTTCTAAATAAAATGACAGAGAATATCAAGGCAACGAAGAGCTTTGTCATATGATAACAACTACATTTTTTTATCTTTATACAGGTAAAACATGACATATTCTAACTACTATCTGATCGACCACGAAAAGACTTCGTGTCATACAATTACCATTCTCCAATTAATCAATCAAGTAAAAGCGACCTATGGCATTGAACGATGAGGTATGTCTATCAAAAACTATCAATTTCTAGGTTAAAAACGTGCAAGTCTTCTTTTTTGCAAGAACATTGTCAAAAATATAAAAAGTTCAAATATATCCATATTTTAATTCTAAACAACGAGTGAATTCTAAACATATTTATTTTATCTATAAGCAATCTTCTGAAACGTTATTTTGATGTCTAGTATAAATTTGTTTAGAAGGAGATCATAATAATTACAAAGGAACCACTAGTTACCTTCGATGTGCTTCTTCGAAGTTGCGGTGATCTAAATCGATTTCAATATATACATTACTTTTTTCTCAATATCGTAGCGATATCAACTGGTGTAGCTGCGTTTTTCTATGTCTATGGCGCTGGAGAACCTCACCATCGTTGCAAATTATTGATGTGGCCCAACGATCAATATTATTCTGTCAATAGTTCACATCAATATTTGATCAATAAATGGATCCCCAAGAATACTGATGGTACATTTATGAAATGTTCAATATATAAATCGAATTCAACAAACACTAGTATACCAACAAATGAATTGATGGATTGTAGAGAATGGGTTTATGATCGATCTATTTTCGGTTACACATTCACAGAAGAGGCTAATATGGTGTGTAAATCAAAATCAAGAAAGAGTTTGTTGGCAGCTGTATTACAGTTTGCTGGTATTTTTACTGTAGTATGTGGAAGTTTAGGAGACAAGATTGGACGGAAAGTATCAGCAAGTATAACAACAGGATTTCTATATATCATATTAATTATAACACAAACAGTCATACAATTTGTTCCAATGTCGATCGATACAAAGTACGTATAATATAAAAATCATTCTTGATATATCTATTTTATTCATTTAATTTTAGATTCTGGTTATTAATTATCAATCAATTCGCATGTGGTCTAGTTTCCGCAATATACAGTATAACATTTGTTTTAATGCTTGAATTGACATCTGCAGCACATACGACATTTGCTGCTAATACTGCTCTAGTTTCATTTACAATTGGTGAAGCTCTTGTCACACTATTCGCCTACTTATGTAGGAACTGGCAATTATTAAAATGGGTAAATACTATTTTTATTGGACTCATGCTACCTTATCTCTATTTTATGCCTGAATCGCCGCAGTTTTTGTATAGTAAAAAAAATTATTTAAAATTAGAAATTTTGCTAAGAAAAATCACAAGAATGAATAAAAAATTGGAAGCAGAATGGTATCCATATTATCAAGAATTATTACGGTACAATAGAATATCAAGACCAGTAAATACGAAGAGTTTTGTTCAACAAACCAAAGAGATAGTCACACATAAACCAACAATGTCAAAGTTACTAATTGTAAGTTTGATTGGTTTTACAACGTTACTTTTATACATAAAAATTTCCTATGGACTCGCAGCGATGGGCGATTTCTCTCCATATATTGGCACATTGATCGGTGCAATTGTAGAAGGGGCTGGTTATGTAGCAGGTGGCCTGTTAGTATTGAAGATGGGTCGAAAACTATCATTCATTGCTTTTACGACGTTAACAGGCACTTGTATACTGATTATTCCGTTCATTATTCATCGATATCAAGTACCAACGATTCTCATCTCTCAGTTAGGAAAATTTGCTATATCAGGTTGTATAGCTGTTTCATGGATATTTGTACCAGAACTATTTCCAACAGCCATAAGAAGTAGTGCAAATGGGTTTTTTATTGCTATGAGTCGTGCCGGAGCTATGCTTGCACCAATTATTGATTCGTTAGTTGATGACAATTATGTTAATGTGACATTTTATGTTTATACGGGTTTTGCAGTAATTATTATATTGTTATCTCTATTTCTACCGGAAACAAAAGATGTATCACTCGCAGATGCTCCAGACGATATATCAATTTAATAATGAAAAATAGAAAAACTTTAAGAATACATCATTTAATAGCCTAGCAAAGTTTAAGTAGATAAAAACCTCTTTTGTTTAAAATAGTTCACATGAACTTCTTGAGCATTCTCTAAATAAAAGACTCAAGTATTCAAAAACTGTAACAGGTGAGCCAGATTAAACGAGACAATTTTGTTTTATGTTTTTGAGACACTAAAAATCGTTTTAAAACTCGGTCTTGAGCTCATTTGATAGAGAATTCATTATTCTACAAAACTGTTGACTTTATTTTTCAAAATAAATTTGTCTTGTCGGCGCAAAATTTAAAAGATTAACACTTACTCAGCCGTCCAGCTACGATCTTCTGTTTTCTACAAACATCTATCGATTTGTGTAAGCCGACGCTCATCCGGTCCAATGCTAAAAGTAAAGTATTTAACACCAATAAATAGAGAATATTGTGCTCTATGCTTCCGCAAGTTTTTCAAGGTTTATAGTGCCATCGTTTAAGAGAAATAGGCATGGAACTAACACCTTTGTGGTATTTTTGGATGCATTTTGGAAAATCATGTTTTCCAAAGCCAGACTTGTTCTATGAAACGTTTATTATCAAGCCGTCGCATGCAGAATTTAATTCTGAACAAAATGGTGTGATTATTAAGTTGAAGGATGAAAACTTTTAGGTTGCTTCAAATTAAAAAAAGAACAATGTCATAGGTCTGTCACAAAAGGCATTTTTTTGGTTTTCACATTTTTTACTGCAAAAAGTTTTTCTCGCCAAAACTTCTGAAATATACATCAAAAGATACAGAATTTTATGAAGAATTTTGTGACATGTTTGGTGAAATCGTTATTAAAAGTTTTTCATTATTTTTTCATTTTTTGACCGTCGCAGTTAGACGATTAAATAGGTGTTAATCTTTTAAATTTTGCGCCGATAAGACAAATTTATTTTGAAAAATAAAGTCAACAGTTTTGTAGAATAATGAATTCTCTATTAAATGAGCTCAAAACCGAGTTTTAAAATGATTTTTAGTGTCTCAAAAACATAAAACAAAATTGTCCCGTTTAATCTGGCCCATCCGTTAGAATGTTGTGTTTGTGATGCTAAATGATGTCTTAATTGACATCTAAAAGGGTTAAAATGTCATTTCATCATGCTTTATTTTTTCCAAAATATATGGAAAAAAGTTGGAAAAAAATGCAGAGCACATAACACGTAAACAAAAATAACAAAAGAAAACACAAAATGACAGAATCAAACAACAACGTTAGTTTGAAAAAAAATAATAAAGAGGGACAACAAAAAAATACAATAAAGATATATGTACACCTAATTATGCATACTGAAGAAAAAGCGAGAGCAACAAAAAATATAATAGCATGCCAAACGGAAAAAAAAAATCTGACTAGAAAAGATGGATAAATAATACAAGAAACAATGTGCGCGTGTTGCACATGACTTCTTTTGTTTATAACAAAAAGCAAAAAAAACATTATAGAAAAGTGTATGCTTTGATTAGACTAAACAAAAACCATTAACAACAAAAACACAAATAAAATTAGACACACCGAGTTTTAATCTTAAATAGTCACCGTTTTTTCTATTGTTGGAATAAAAAATACATTAAAATAAGGCATATAATCACTATACACTGTTCCAATTTTTCCAATTTGATCATCAGTTTCATCAATAAATCTCATCACTGTATGTTGTTTATATGTACATCACAGAAGAAAAAATAAACTAATTTTATTAGTATCATACGGATTTATGAAATTTGTTAGATAATCTAACATTTAAAATTTTTTTATCTCATATTGATTTTGAAGAGACAATCAATTTGCACTTTTAATCGTTATTTGTCAGTTTTGTTGGTAATATGCTAGTTTTACTACGACGATGCTCATTACGATGAGCTCGATATGAACGTTCAGTATCAAACTTCTAAAAGAAAACAGTCATGAAAAATCAAATCATTAAGAATATAGAAATTTGATAGAAAACAATCAAGTATAATTACCAGTTGACAATCTTTGACTTTACAGATAAAATTTGTTTCATTATTATTTTCTTCTTCCTACAATAAGTGCATGAGTACAGTCAAATAGTCAAAAAACTAAAGTAACATCGATAAATATTTAATGAAAATAAATGTCTTACCATTCGATTGTTGTCAACGATTGTCATCGATGATGAAGATGATGTATCATCGTTTAGATTATCTTTGAAATTTCGTTGTTTTAACTGAGAATTCAGCGTACATTTATGCGACTTTGTTGGACGTTTTCGTTTTCCATTCAAAGATAATAAATTCATTTGTTTTTTCGGCATATAATAATATTCGATACATTCTTTAATAGTTTTTGTACCGATCTAAAGACAATATTTATATTTATAAAATTTGTATAAGGTAAAATTACATAATATACTCACAGATTTACTAATAAGTTCAAAATTCTTTTCGTATTCAACAATTGATTGATTATATAAATCAATTTCTTGTCTAGTCCAAATATCACATTCTAAAACATTAAATTAATGGTAATGCTATAGTCTATTAAGTGTAATGCGAAGATCATACATACCTGGAAATTTATACGTGTGCAGAGGTCTACACTCTTTGATAGATGTAGTTTTTCCTTCTAGTAGTGTTAAACATGTTAATTCAAGATCACCACGAAATTCATATAATAACATATATATTAATTCTAATGGATATGACATATTTGCTAATGATGGACATAAAACATTTTTATTTATTATTTTTTCAAGTCGACCAAACAATTCTTCACTGATATTAGACATATCATAAGGGCTAAATAATAACTCATCAGAGGTATCGTAAGAAGTATCTAGGTCTAAAAAAACGCACATTATCATAAGAAAACACGTTGATAGAACTATTGTTACCTGACACATTGCATTCGGGAATATCTGCCTGATATTGTTCACCCACATTGATTCTTGCCAGTAGATCTTCGATAGATACAGCACTTTTAGGTATTGGTATTATCTCATTATTTTCTTGCTTATTAATTTCATTTACTACTAGTTTATTGGTCAATGGCGTAAATGGTTGTTGTATGCCCTGAGAAAACGTGGTAACTGGTGTAGAAACAGTTGTTGGTGTAGCAGAGAATACATGGTAATATAATCCTGACCTAAAACAAGTTTAGTAAGACTGAATCTACTGCTTTGTTTGTCTAGCGAAGTGAATGCTAAGTGAATATGTGCGGAGAGGAATTATAAGTTAAAAGTTCTTGTCAGGGCAGTTGGGACTAAAATTGTGAAACTTCTATATCCTTCATTTAATAGTTTAACTGAGCATACCTCATAAAAAATAAATTAATCTTTATTTTTCGCCGTAATGATTCAACTCTGATTTATCATGTAATCTTGATTATTCAGTTGCTAATAACATTTTCGTTTAATTATAATTTAAGATGAATACTAGACCTACTAGGGGAGGGAGAGGGTTAAAAAAACACCGAAAACCACGGGATCTCGAGTATATATATAACCTAAACTCCTCTCTACGGATTTTCATAAAACGACTTTATAACTCACCCCTTTCGATAAGGACTCAACATCGGTGGCGGTGTATAAGGGGTAAAGCTTTGTTGTCGACGCAATTGACTAGGTTGTGAAGGCCATAAAAAGGATGGTGAATCAATTGGTTGATTTATTCGTTGGTGAGACTCAGTGGGCGTTGGTCGAGATACTAAAACTACGAAAAAGAACAACATAAATACAAAGTAATCGATGGATCGTTTATAAACGTACTTGTCTCAGTAGTCGAAGAAACGTGTTCGTATTGAAAATGTTTTGCATTTGACGAAGAAGAAGAAATAAGTGATGAAGAATTTGACGATGGCGTTTTGTCGCTAGAACTTGTCATTGATATAAGGATTTCTGGGACTGGCTTAAACATATCTGTTTCATTAATTGTTTTCTTTTTACTATTAGTGTCAATAGAAATATCACATGTTATTGGTATTTCATCAAGCGCTGGAACAACTTTTAGCATAGTTGATGATTTTTCTATAAGGAAAAACGTTTTATCGATAGCAAAATAATGAACTAAAGTCATATAAAGTAGTGTTCTTTCATTCTAAGACTATTGTTTTTTCTGTTTATGTTTACTCATTTTTTAGTTTTCAAATTGGCGCTTGTATTTACGCTATCCTTATTGACAGAATCCGTGTATCCGAATAGATATAACAATAAGTTCGCAAATCGGATTTTTTAAAGTTTTGAAACAAAGACTAACTAAGTTAAGAGTCATTAAAATCAGCACAAAAAGGATCAATGTATTATATACTTGTGCTATACCTTTTACAAGAGATTTTTTATTATTGTCAGCGGTAGTATTGTGGACATCGATCCTAACGTTAGTCTCGTCGATTTGCTTTTCTTGACTTAGAGTTGCTGATGGTGGTGTACTATTGATGGTAAATGTTGTATCAATACTGTGAACAGACTTTGGAGCAACAATAATATCGATGGCAGGTTCGAATGTTGATGATGTCGAATAGGAAATTGAGTTATTTTTCTTTCTTGATACCATTGTCTTAAACGGACTTTGCTGACGATCAGCATTGTTTTCGCTGTTCGATTTTGTTAGCGTTGAAGAAGTATTAATTGTGAAATCTATATCATTAATTGGAAGCGTATATTTTCTTTTTTTTGGAACGATACAGCTCGAGGATGGCGAAGATTGATAAGAAGAAGATGATGAAGAAGAGATGGGCGTTGGCGATGGATGTTGATGAATTGGGGTTGTCATGACTGAATACTGTTCGGAGGCAGATTGTTGGTTATCATGCGGGGAATAATGATCACTGAGTGGTGAATGTCGAGGTGTGTTTATAGTTGAACAAACTACAACAAAGATGGAAAGACATAATAAAATCGGTGAGGCTTTAGGAACTAGAATTGTCATACTCTTAATTTACACAAAACTTTAATGGAAATTGCGAAATAAAAGAGATAATTCTTAAGACTTTTCTTCGTTTTATCTTACCTAGCAGTTTATCATGTGAATGCGATCTTTGAGCTTGTAATTCTTGTTGTTGATGGTCTATAGATGCCGGTGATGAAACTAGTCTTGGTGGTGTTGTAGACAAAGATGCTATTGAGTACGGAGAAGTATGCTGAGAGTGATACGGACTTGTAGATGGTGTCCGATGATAACTATTATCATTTGGATGATAAATTGTGTGTAGCTCATGTGATTGTGGAGAATGCAAGTGATTTGATTTTAAATGCTCTTGAGCATCTTTGAATGGTAGAAAATCTGTTACTGGCAATATTTGTTGTGAAGGAGAGGGTGGATAACGTTTCTCTGGTTTAATTTGGTTGAAATTATTATTTTGTTGCCGAGCACTAGCTGCTTGTTGGATTTGTCTTGATGTTATGTAGTCTGGAACGTTAGATGTTGCACCGTTATTCACTTTATTATTATAATTGCCGCTAATTATTTGATTTCGTAATATAGCCTCTAAATGATTTGTTGTAGGATGTTGTGGAACGTGATCGAGTGTTTCTGATGGACTCGGATAAAGATTCATGTGTGGTGAATGTGAATGTGGATGGAATGTCGGGATCGACATTTGTGATGAATGGTGTTTTGCGTTATTATTCCCTCCGTTGTTCTGCTTTTTAGCAAAATGAGTTTGATGTTGTTGTGAGTGTTGAAGCGACATTGGATGAGAACCATAGTTGTGACTATTATAACTGGTATCGCTACCCTGTTACAAAAAAAAAGAGAGTAAAAGAATCAATAAATTCATACAAAAATATGCTAACAAAACTTAAGTAAAAGACACAGCAAGTCCCTATTTAAAACTCACACTCAATAACGTTTGCAAAAGATCTGACTTGCCTGCCGATATACCTTCTTTTGTGACCCGTTCTGTTGTTGTTGAAAATGATGATAGATAATAGCTTGTGTTACTGGATTTCTTTGTCCGTGATCGTGTGATAATGATTTTGTATTAAGATATTTTTCATCTGAATATACTTTTCTGAGTTTTTCGTCGTACTGATGTTCAGCTGACAATAAACGTAAGCCACCAGGTAAACCAACTGTTTGATGAGTATTATCTTGTAGTATATAAGAATCATGTTGTTGATGTTGTTGTCCGTAAGGGGAATGCTGATTCGGTATTGCTAGTAGGCCATTATCTATCATTCTTGTATTATTTGCAGGATGATTCAAAAGGTCCATAGAGTGATGTATGTTTATATGACCTTGTATATTACGCATGTTATCGTCATTTTTATGATGAACTAAAAGAAAGGACGTAACGTAAAAAATATTTTGTATTAAAAAAATTTATCACAAATTAAATTATACATTCCAGTCTTGCAATGAGAACTTTACTGATGTCATAATTTTCATTTCAATCTACAGCTTGAAGTGTCTTGTTCAAACAGAAGTATCTGTTTTCAGTATCTGTATAGCACATAGTGTGATGATAAAAAACGCGAAAAATTCAAATAATGATGAATCTTGAGTTATTTCTTACATAACTGCGATTGTGCTGGTACCGATTGTTGTTTTCGGTGTTTGAATAATGGATTTAACTGATGGGATATTTGATGATCTCGCTCTTGTTGTAATACGTTGAGTGAATTTTTTGTTGCATATGCGGAAAGCGTATGTTGTTCAATAACAGAGGATGAAATAGATCGTGTACGAGATTTATCATCGTAACGTGTCGTTAATGGATGGAAGGATGGTTGAGAGTGTATGGATGTAAAATGAAGATAATCGTCATTCACCTCTTTTTCTTCACTTTTTACTTGAAATGAACGATGTAATGGTGGACGTTTTATTTCTTGTTTAATTAGAGGAGGTGATATGGATGCCGTTGATAATGGCGTTGTGGATGAGGAACAATGAGCCGAATCAGGTGTAAAACAATTTACGAAAGAAGAATGACCGACAAGAGTTGGTGGTGTTGACGTATTGTTTGATGCATCATCAGGATGTTTACGCTTTGTACGACCTTTAATTTCAGAATCTTCACCTGTTACTATCGAACGCTTTTTGGAATTTGATGATTGTTGAACACCTTGTTTTTTATCACTATCATCATTCGATAAACGTTGTTTCTGTAAAAGAGAACATATGTTAGACGAGATGTTTCAATAAAAACTATCCCATTTACATTTTCACTGGAGAATCCACCGTGAAGCCGCATATGACCGTTCAAAGCAGCTCCATTCTTAAACGTTTTCTTACATAATTGACACTGTACACATTTTTCTTCGTCAAATCTAAACATAATATGATCAGCTTAGAGAAGAGTTTTATACACTTTGGTCCGCTTACGTATATGTTGGTAAAATTTTATTTGCTGATTTTTGCGCTGCTCCCATATTAAATTCTTGTTGTGATTGTTCAAGATTTTCGGCTGATCTTGGAGAGTCGATTGAATCGATAGAGTGATCTCCTTGCAATCCTGTTGAAGCCTGTTTTGTTTTGACATAGGCTGTTTCAGGTAAGTATTGTTTATAATCCTCATGGCCACCTTCATGTATGGCTGCTAAGATATCTTGATGTTGATTTTCAATGTGACGTTTCAATGATCGAGCATCACAATAAGTACGAGAACATCCTGGCACCTTACATTTGTGCGGTTTGTCTTCTTCATGCGTTAGCATATGACCATGCAAATGATCTAATCGTTTGAAACCCTACAAACGAAAATAAAAAAAAAATTGAAAAATGCAATTGATATTTAAAACTCCGCTTAAATAAATTTACCTTATTACATCTTTCACATTTATGTCGTCGATCTTGCGAATGGGTGAGTTTGTGCTTAGCTAATGCACTTTTATTAGCAAATACTTTTGTGCAATCCGTGTAGGTACAACAATGACGATTTTGTGGAAATTGAAACGGATTCTGTGTTTGTGTTGGACTATTAGTAGCCAAAGAGGCTGATGTTTTTGTGCGATTAGACTCCATTTTCTTACGAGATTTTTTGTCTCCAACTAATGGTACAGCGACAGGGGCAGACGATATTCTTTGTGAAGTCGATTCGACAGTTGTACCTAAAAAATTAGGATGATCTATAAAGGAGAACTACATCTTCGAAAAAATGTGCTTGTGATATAAAAAAATATTATCTCGAAATTACAGACAGAAATATGCTCCTATGCAAAGAAATTTAAAACAAACATATTATTTTACCTTCTCGACTTAATAATTGATCGACAATCATATCAGATGTCGGTGCCGTATTTTTGTTTTGTTCCTTTTCAGTATTACAATCAGTATTTATCATTAGTGGTTTCATTGCAGCTGGTGAAGTGTTATCATAACGATCATCCTCATTATCCGAGTTGGTTGCTGGTTTTCCATGTAAGTGATGATGGTTATTCAATGTTGTTGTTAAATCTTTGCTTGTGTTAAATACGGTATCGTTTAATGTTTGTTGTTCTACCTTATTTAATGTTACAGATGTATCAAATGTAAAATAGGCCTTTGATCGAGCTGATGTATCATTATTATTTAACTGAAATCCCGCACTATGTAATGGACTCGATTGACTAAACGATTGTTGAAAATTTTTACATGATGAAGGTGATAAAATGGGTTGATGTTGAACGCGATGAATATGATTGTCTGGGTGATCATCCAATGCTAATGGATTTGGGGGCGTATTTAGTACTTGAGAATGACCGCGAATGTACAATGGAGATGTTTGAGAGTGATGTGGTTGATCTTGCGATGGCTGTTTAGCTTGGTCAGATTCATTAGTGGACTGCGATTGATTTTTTGGCTGTTGCAGAATTACATTCGAAGTGTCCACGTCAGCTATAAAAAGAATACAAAAATTGTGACAATAAAAATTGATCTCAAATAGAGTGATAAAAATAACAGACAATTTAAAAGACATCTTACCAACAAGTGCATCGATAGAAGCTGAGGGATCTTCGTCATCATCATCATTATTAACGTCGATTCGATTGTTATTGTTGCCAGATGTATTATAATGCAGGTTTTGATCATTACTGACATTCATTGAATGTTCATTTAAACGTGCAACTAGTAGTGGACTGAGAACATTATTTGACCATTGTTGTGGAGCTAAAAGACGAGTGTTCGTATTACTGCTATTCGAATTTAATGCTGTCGGAGTTGATGGTTGGCTATTTGTATGGTTTAATAGCAATGGAGAACATAATTGAACCTGAGACTGTTGAGTCTGCTGATTGTAAGAATGTTGTATTGCTGGTGTTTGTTGAATTAATGTCAATTTTTGATATCTTGGTGATGTAACTATCGGAAGGTTAGAATTATTATTCGGCGAAGCTGGTACGGAATTGAATTGTTGTACTGGTGATTGTGGTGGTGGAAAAGTGAACGCTGTTGTATTATTAACAAGCGTATGATGTTGATTAGGCGATGATATATGTGATGTTAAAAATGGATATGTGTGAGGGGTATTATTACCGGTACGTTGTTGAGATTGAAATGATGCATTAACTGATGTTGTGTATATTTGCTGCTGTTGCTGAATATGTTGATGATGAGGTTGAATCATATAAGGGGCAGAATATGGTGAAGATTGCTCATTGAATATTGTCAAATCAATATTTAAGTCTTTCGGACGACTTGAACGTCTCAACGCCGAAAAGGTAACATTATGGTTTGTATGAAATAAATCTGTTGCATTGCTAGATGAAGATTGTTGCTGTTGTGTTTGTTGTTGAGATCCTCCGGTATATCCAAACTGTTGAGATGACTGTTGATTAACACCAACCATTTGCTGAGTTGTGTACATTGTTCACATACAAAAATAAATATCACGTATAACTGTAGAGACAACAAAAGAACAAATAGACGAATAGAAGAATGAAGAACGTAAAAAACCTAAAATCACTGTAAAGTACACCAATACTTTAGATCCATTCCAAAAAAAGTAAAAATAATAATAAAAAAATACATCACAAATCTAAAAAATAGAGTATAGCAATTAGATGATTAGCAGCCAGTCCAAGAAACACCAATCAATAACTTTACTGTTACTCATTAATTATAGCGAAAACGTTTATAAGTAAAGAGGTAGATAGTTAAAACTCTGCCATACGGCTCTTTTGATCACTGATGTCAGCCTGTTTTTTTCGCTTGCTTCTTTCGCTTACAGTCTATATTTTGTGAAGCTTTACATTTCATCTTTAATTTATTAACTGTCTACGGATAGTTGTGGAAACGCTTAAAGAAAACTGTCTAGAAGATGCACTGAGCTGAAATAGAATGTATTGAATCATTAATTTTATTACTATATAATAGTATAATGGATTAATTAATACGTTTCTAAGAGTATACTTTGACAGTTCAAATGTCTAAGACAAAGCTTATCTACTGTTCTCATAAACATTTCTTCATTGCAGGATAAATCTATGTTTATTGTTTTTTAAAAATAATAAAATTCATGGAAGAAATGCTTTCTCTTGTTCGAAACATGAGACTATTCAAATTAATCTTCAAATTCTTTTATGAATCACAATCACACAATTTATACCATGTGCGTTGAAACTCTATTTAATGGTCTGTAGATAAACAAACCTATCAGTGTATGTAGTAACGAATAAAGAGAATCTTACTGATGAATCATTTATATCATCTTATTTTCCCTCTAAAAAAAGTACACATACAGCACATGTTGGAAAAAAAAAGAAATGGTTGTGTGGTTCTGAGATGCACTTGTTGATGCGTGCGTTACCTTGCCTCTATCGATGTATTATATAGATACTTAACAGAATGAATGAAAGAAAGAACAGTATTTCCTTTGTGTATAATAAATACAATTTTATTTTATTTTTCTTTTATGCAATAAAGCCACATGTTCGTTTTAGAACTATAATGAAAGAAACACTTTGTTTTCTAATGTCAAAGAAAAACGATATAATGATCTATATTTATATATGGATACAGTGAGAATACTACTAAATAAACTTATTGTTTCATAACGTTAAAAAAGATACATTTTCAGTACTAAATGAATTTTTCTTACAACTCATGATACATACTCTTCCATTATCGACAAAATATACACTTGAAAAAAGTGACAGCTAGTATAAATTTTAGTTAACTAATTTGTTTATTTTTATTCATATTCTCAACAACTCTTAAAAAAAAAAATGTTTTATTTCTCTTGTTAAAATAGATACTAATCACAAAACTGAATGTTTTTAAATGTTTATTTCATAACAGGTCTTAGTTTTAACGAATTATTTTTTGTTATGATACCACTATCTCATTTAAGTTTCAATAGGAGTACGCGACGCCGATAACAGTATTAACGTACAAATAATATGCAACAGCAAAAAGTTTTCTTTCAAATAAAACGTATCAGTCTTTCCTAAAATACAATTACAGATAAACATCACAAACAATGGGGATAGAAAATTTTTCTTAGATGTAACCAGAATAATGAAAAAAAATTTTTTTTTATAGAATTTTTACAAAGAAAAAAAAGCATAAAATAAAATAGAAATAAATAATTTTTAAATAATAAAAAATATCTTTCGTTTTCTATAGAATTTTCTTCTATTCAAACACAAACTTAAAAATCAATAAATTTGAACTGCCGACCTGCGTCAACAAAATTGACTAAAATATATGTCAATCTCTCTGTAGCATAAATGGATTACGTAAAAATAATGAAAACATTTGTCAATGTTTTTATACATATTGATATTTAGGCTTTTAACTTTATATTCAATCAAGAATATGAAAGTTCGCACATTTGTTGCTTCTATAAAACAACAAAAAGGTAGTTAATTCAAGTTTTATTTTAGTATTATTCTCATATAAAGAATACGAAGAGAAAAAATGTATAGTATTTTGTTCTTTTTTTTCTTGATAAACTGGAAGATTTGTCAGTGAACTTTAAGCCTTCTGGAAAACAGGAAGAAAAACAAGATTGACAAGAAAAAACAGTCTATTGCATATTAAATGTTTTCACGTGGTAATTATAGGTGAGCTATATATCCCATCGATGCTAATATTCCTTCTTTTTTTTCTTTTTATTTTAAACACACATAGTCAAATGACAATACTAAAACATCAATAATACGTGCATTTATGATAATATCTTTACAAGAAGAGTTCTAATTTGAGTAATTTTCACATTTTATAACTAAAGCAAGTCAAAATTAAAATAAAATGCTAGAAATTTCTAGTAGTTCGTCCTTTAATTTGATACTAATAGACATTTATTAATCAAACTTTAAACATTAATCTGATGTAGCCTGAATCCTTATAAAAAGAAAAGGACAACTTAAAAAAACCGGTTTGTTTAAATTTGACTAATAACATACAACAGAAATAAGCGCTTACAACAATCCGAGATTTCGTTATTTAAGAAAAGATAAGGAAAGAATCTAGTTTTGAATTTAAGAATACCCCGCATTATTCAGACCGATCTAAAATTACTCTTTCCTACTCATTTACTACCTACTATACACCTATTTAGAGAAAGAAAAGGAAAGAAACGTAATAGTCGTCACGAGACCACGCACAAAAATATGACATTCAAATAAATTGAGTCATATCGTTTGTTTAAAAAAAAAATATTTGATTTGTAAACCATACTTATCGAACACAACATAACAGTTTCATATAAACAAATTATTAATCATATCGTGCATATGTGAGTGTGTGTGTGTTTGTAGTCAATTATTCTTCTTGATAACAGTAAAACAACTCTAAAATATAGCGAATATTCTTAATGGATATATGTTTTTCACATTATGTTAAAATTTTCACGTATTTGTTACTCACAGAAAGCATATCTACTTGATGGATTTTCAACTTGCTTGTTTTCGACCGATCCCGTCTACTGACAGGATAAATGAAAACTATTAAAATCTCTTGAAGATCAAATCAACTTTGTGCTGAAAATTTTCTTTTTTAATTCACAGTAAATTCAGAAACCATTTCAAATTAGCCAATGGAAAATTATTGATGAAAAGCGAACCTCGGCGAAACTGACTCATGAATAGTAAAAAAAAAGTACAGAACAATCTGTGTTCTAACCCATATACGTCAGAATATAAAACATCAGAGAAGTGTTAATGATGGAAAACAATCGTCTTGAAATTAGTTCTAATACGTCTCTAAAGGGACAAAACATATACTTTTCATAGCTCTTAAAACAAGAGAATCTCTAACCTCATCCATCTGCAATTGACTATATTACACGACCTATTTGATCTCAATATATTCTTGACACTCTTTTCTACTAAAATAAAAAATATTAGAGATGTTCTTAGAAAGATTATGAAGTTTTGTTTAATGGACAAAATGTATTTAAAATAAGTACGAGTATGAAAAGAAGATTATCAAAAACAGAAGTTAATGGATTTTTACTGGACTAGTGAAGCATGTTAAATTCGCAACGTTTTTAACATCTGTCAATAAAACACAAGCTTCTTTTACATCAAACAAGCGCTTACATAAAGTTTAATCTTTAGTATTCTTTCACATGTACACTATTTCGTTCCATAAAGATACTATGATAAAAAATATTTTTCTTCCTTTTTTTAAGGGACGAAACATTCTTTATTTGTTCTTTAATAGTCGTCGTACGATGAAAACAAAAGCGAGAATAAAATACCGCAGAATAAAGAATAGTATTTCTTTTATTTTATATTTTTTTCTACACCCATATAGCGATATAGCGTCTGGTGATATATTTTTTGTTTTGTTTTTTCTAACATATAGGCGGTAGTAGAAGAATTAAAAGTTATTTTTAAAGTTGAACATTGTATTTAGTCAGCAGACTGTCTCAAATACGCAAGTGATAAAATTTCGACTAGTAAGCCCGACTACTAAAACGTATTTAGCAAGTCTAGTATAAAACTACAAACAAAAACTGTGAATATACAGAAACAAGTAGAGTCCTGTATGAGTCGAACTGACAAAATCGCCAGTTCATACAGAGTTCTCGTAGTACGTACGAAAGGAGAAGGAAGAAATCGTAAGAGAGACAAAGTAATTTGGAAAGTAACTGAAGGGGAATTTAAACGTGATAATCCTTTTTACCGTGAAAGTATCTCAACCTGAAGAAAAAGCTAAAATTCATGCAGAGTCGCGGAAAAGTACTTTTTCAGCACACTGGATAACCCCGAAGATTTTCTATTTTTAGCAAGACGTATTATTCCAAAAGTTTAGGAAAATTCTTCAAACAAAATGACCAAAAAGAATTCCACTAAGAAAATAATATTAATTTCAATAATTTTCATTAACATTTAATGATACGTCTAGTCAAAAATAGAAAATCTTCAGGGTTATCGAGTATACTGAATACAAAAAAAGCACTTTTTCACGACTCTACATGAACTTTATTTTTCTGTTATTGATATGGGACAAAAGAAGCATATTAAAAAATCTTTATCACTTTCTTTTGAAATTTTTACTTATAAAAAATATAATAACACATTCAGTCTATCGCTCGAATATATTTACCATAGAAAAAAAAAACACATTAGCATAAGAATGTATCTTTCGTATAGCCCACACAGATTTGATAAATAGAAGAAAATTTTTTAATTACTACAGCTAGTTAGAAAAAGTTAGATTGCAATCAAAATTTATCAGTCTATCGTAATTCTTATACAATTTAATAGATTCTTATACTTGTTAATAGTCTATTGGTAACGCCCAATATTTGTTTAGAAAAATTGCAAATATATATTTAATGTAAACTACATATCAAATACGAACTACTCGATAAAGTTATTCTAATTCTAAATGTCTAATATCCGAACACTGCACACACTTTAAGAATGTATTACACTAATTAAACGTATAGTCAAGTAATCATCGAACTCAAGAGATTGACAGTCCATCTGTTATAGAAAGCTATTTTAATCTAGAAGACTGTAATTTCCGAGTGGGATACGTTTTCTACAAACGACCTTTTCATTTTATCTTGACATATAAATTCAAATCTAGGGTTTTAATGAATCCATATTACAAAATCTTTTTTTTATCAAAAATCTCAATACATGTCCCTATAAGCAATCTGAATGAAATGTCTACTTTCACAGTCTGTATCTTTTTCTATCGAGACTAGCATTTTTTGTAGGCGTTTTAGATGATGTATGTATCTATTTCTTCTAAACAAGATGAGATGGAGTTTTGAAATGTGGAAGAAAGTTCGAAGCATTTTCCTACAATGGATAAATGGCTAATTTTCTCGTTAAGTCACATTCACATGTATCAGATTACATGTCACTTTTTTTTGAAAATTTGATTTTCGTGCAATAAATTTTCAAAATGGAACACCAATTAAATTTGCAAGAGAAATTAAGATGAGGTCTCAACCATGTGTGCATGGCTTCAGTGATGTCATTCAGTATCGTATATTCTCACAAATTTTTTTGTCTGAAAGCTGAAACAAAAATTCAGAGACTGATTGAACACGATTTTTGACATCCCAATGAAACGCAATAGAAGCAAATTTTAACCATTGCCTACATCAAGATATAGGTTGAAGTAACTAGATTCGTTCAGAGATCATTTTACTTCTGTATCTACTACAGAAGCTAAGAAAAGTGTATAATGTCAACAGGGAAAAAAATGACTATACTTCATGCTACTATATCTAGCAGCTAAATCTACATGTTTATGTTCTTAAAAATAAATCGTAAAAAATACAAATAAAACATCGTAAATGTTTGTTTATTTTGTATATATAAAGAATGACACTAAGAAATAAACAACAAATCAACGTTTTAAAAAAACTTCAAAAAAAACATCACTAAAAATGTTCTCAATGCCATCTTACACATAATCTACCATTAACACAAGACTGTTCACTCTCATCTATAGAATACAATTGTATGTTGTTTGAATTATGAATAAAAAAACTGTGACGTAAAAGAAGAAAAAGGGATACCACCAAAATAATAGATTAAGTTGAGAATTTGAAAAAGCTTGGATCAACGCTACGTCAAAGTTTAGAGTTTTAAGAAGTACACTCAGACCCACACAAACACACATACACACGTTATTGAAACGACTAGCCAAGAAAAACGAGAAGAGTATAAAGCTCTAGATGAAGAAAAATAATCTATTGTACAGAAATTGTTGTGGTAAAAAAATGAAAAGGGACACCACAGCTGAGAATCCTTTTACTTTTTATGTAGTTTAAACGATGGTAACATGAGTGCTGATGATAATAATGAGCACAAAAAATGAAAATAAAAACGATAAAAAAAAAGAGATGAATGAATTATTGACAAAATGAAAATGAAAATAACGTTATTATAAAAGAAGCGAAAAAAAAAAAAAGATAAAATAACCAAAAATAAAATGTTTTCAGTCAGGTTTTGTGTGACCCAAAACTGATTGCATTGCAGACCGTATACAACGTGAATAAGCTGGCTGGAAGGCCTACAAAAATGAAAACATAATTGTAGCAAATTAAATGGAACAAATAATGCAATAGCATGATATTTGATTCTTCGTCAAATTTACTCAATAATTGAATTGAAAAAATTTGAAAACTTGAAAAAGACTGTAGTTGAATAGAAAGACTTTTTCAATAGTGTATCGACAGTCAAAACAAGCAATCTACTTCTCATCATGAAGATGAATCTATACATAAACTGTTAGCAATTAAAGAAACTTACATTATTCCATACAACATCAGCAAAATAATCGATATATTCTCCAATTTCTGAATATTCTCCACTATATTTTGTATATAACCATACAGTTAATAGTACAAAACACACCCAAAATGCAAACATAAAGATAAAATTTAATCCACCTAACCACATAACATCTAATAGACCAGCAATTAAATAACATATGACCATACACGATATAAATGTTGTTGGTGTACGACTAAAGGCAAATACATTTTTACTATCATTATGTTTTTTATAATTTAAAAATAATTCTGCTATTTCGTTTTCTAAATCTTGTTGATACGATTGTGATAATTGTTCACCACCTAAAATGTACAGATTATCAATACGATTAGAAAACAGCTATCCATTTTTATGATGAATTTAATCTTACCCATTTTTCTTGCAACACGAAATTTTTCTATTGATTCACGTCGTACTTCACTATGTAATAGTTCTAATTGATTTGGGTGAATATATGGACGATCACCACCACAATGCTAGAAAAATTAAAATAAAGATGCCTCACAGGTCTGTTGGTTTTTATATTTAGCATACCTGTTCCATTGCACGAATATAAAATTCTTTCGAGACAGCTTTAGCAGCAAGATTGTTTGCTTCTGCAGTCGCCTAAACAAGTAAATAAAATTATCTAGTCCGTTTTCAATCTTCTAGAAGACAATAACACATAGAATAGACTGAAACTAGTGGGCATAAGTATTTTATTCTACGAAATAATCTCTCTTAGAAGTAATAAAAAAGCTGTTATGCTTTATAAAATTGATAAATGTAATAATCATAGAAACAAGTGTAACAGATTTATCAAAATCATCGCATTAACGCCTAGAAACTTTCATCGTGTAGGTACAACTCATTGTTCACTACTTCGTATGCCGAAATAAACATCGATTATACATTGATTTTCGAATTAATTTCAGAAAAAAATAGCATTTCAGACAGCATAAGCAACACGCTAGACATTATTAGAAACCATGTCTTCTCAATGAAGATCAATTTATGGTTCATACACCTTTTAACAATGAAATTTACTTTCGAAAATAGACTAGGGTGTTATTCAAATAGGTTAGATCTTCGACGCGTATTGCATTTATATTAGCTTAGGTCTTGTAATGATATATAGCAAACTCTTTAAATAACTACGAGAAGTTCTGAGTATTCTTGCATATAATGTTATCAATGACGTGTTCAAGATTATTCGACTTCTCGACCTTCACGCGGAGAGTTACGAAAAATTATTGGATCTAGATCGGCCGAACAGTTTCTTGTCGGATCTCGAGTCTTTCATTCGTCATTATTCCTTTTCATGCTATGTCTTTGCAAAAACACAAGTGATGTTGCAGCAGAAACGTTTTGGCGCGGAAGAAACGGTTTAATCGCGATTTAAAGACAGTCAGATCTGCTGATGTATAATCAGAGCATCGAAAGACGAAACAACAAGTAATTTTTGTTCAAAGTAAAAATTCAAGAAAACTTTTGACTACAATCGAAATGAAAACTGAGCTTGATGCTATACACTGGAAAAGATGTTCCGTTGATTCGTGGCTCAATATTTTCACCGCAACATACTCACATGAAAAACGCCTAACTCTGCTACCAGAGTGTCTGTGCATTACCGTTTTTTCTCTGTTCGTCTATCCTATAATATTTGGAAGGAATATCGTAGAATCCTGGAAAGCGTCTTGTTTTGTAGAATGAAGTGGGTTTTTCATAATGCACCGCTAGCTCAATTCGAAATAATTGACGACTTTTCGGTTACGATCGAAATAAAAGCCCTAAAACCAAACGACAGTGTTTTTGAGACTCTTCGTACTTTAAGCATAGCATAAACAGCGTCAGTTATTTCGAATTGAGCTGGTGGTCGATTTTGAAGAACGCACTTCATTCTACAAAACAAGACGCTTTCCAGGATTCTACGATATTCCTTCCAAATATTATAGGATAGAC